TTTCATACATTTTCAGATTAAGAGAACAAACTCAGGAGATACACATGCATTTTTTAATTGCTACTTTTGTACAAAGTTATTGCATGAGCAGTGTCTTTTGTGTTTCTGTGTTTTTCTCATTAGCATTACAATGGCACGACTTCTTAAAGACTAGCTGCCTTCTTCTCTAGAGATTTTCAAAACTCAAATAGGTCCTTCAGGTTTACATAGTAAGATTCAGTACTTAGCAAACAGAAAATCCAGGGCACATGCCTATACTTAAATGTTTCTGAAAACACTTCTTCAGTATTCACTTAACTTCTATAGTGCTATGCACAAGTTTTTATTCATGCAGCACTCTTTCATTGATTATCATGGCACTGTGTTAGCTACTCTACCAGGTCATCATAATTTTATGACCTTAGTGTAGTATGTTTGACAGATAAAGGATGGAAGGGACAAACACAGGATAAAGTTCTTAAGAGCTTTGAATTATGTAGACATAAAATTCTTGGCATTAGACAGTGAGAGCACAGAATTAAGAATTACAACTATGGGTTCCCAAATTCTCTGAGGTATTCATTCTTTTATAAAACCAAGCTCCAACTTCTATATACATATAGTTATTCAATTTCACTCTGTTTTCCACATACCAGTAATAACACCTACATTTTGAACATTTTTTCTTAATGATTTTCTAAGGTGTCTTTCATTACCAAGGATTTATATTATTGCCTTAAATAAAAGAAATCTTCAATAATTTTTTTTATTGTGTGTTTAAGTAAATCTGGAAAGTTTTTACCTTTACTTCTACTTACTGGGGCTGAGATATACACTATCTAAATCAACTAATACATTGAAATTCTAAGTCTTCTACAATACAGCTTAGTCTATCATCATAGCCTTATTTCCCACCACAGCCCTTCACTCTAGCCACACAAATGATTCTCAGCATTCCTAAAACATAATGCACACATTTAAAAATTCTGTGCGTGTCCTCATGCCATTCTCTTTGCCTAACAGGTGCTTTCTATCCTCTCTTCCAGCCCATAAGTGATTTCTTCAGTTTACAAGAAAGAGCTGATGTATCACATCCTACTACCACTTTTCCTTGAACAGAACTGATCCCTCTCATTATTATTCTTTCACAAAACATTACTCAAAATTTCCTGAAGACATTCTCTTTGGTCTGATGATTGTGTAGAATTATCTCTAAACTGCAAGACTCCTTGTGCATAGGAAAAAACTCTTAGAACACTTTCACAGAGTACAAAGAACATAAAATTAAAGTTTACTGAATTGAATTCTGGACATGACTTAAAAAAAACAAAGTGTATTTTCTGCACTGGCAAAAATGAGTTAACAAGAAAGCATTTCAGAAAATAAATATATTTTCCTTTTATTTCTACAAAACTAAAACATCATTTGCTCAAAACTACTCATATTTGCTAACCATAGGTACTTATGTTACACTTAAATAACCAGTAATGGTTTTGTTTACAGGCACATCATGAATGCCTACTCCTGTAACTACATTAGTGTGATATTACTGGTGGAATGGGTATTTTAAGTTAAAAAATAAATTAAAAAAAACCACTATGAAATAATTTATTAAATCATATATTTTATACAGTAGATGGTTTCAAAAATATCTATTAGTTCAATTCTTTACATAAAGAAAATGTTATCAATTTTAAAGTTATTCATAGAAACTAGTTTAGTCAGAGAAATATCAAATATACTTTAAATCATAAGATTGCCAAATATATCACCTAGTTGTCTTTTCTCTCCATGACATATTTGTAAAACCAACTGAAGTAGTGTCTCTGAGAAAAGGCAACTTTAATTAAAATTCAAATTAGCATGGCTCAAAAAACCTGAGACCCTCAAAAAGCTAGAAAATTTCAAATAGATATAATTTTAATATGCAGACATAAATGGTAGTTTAAATGTTATAAACCGATTTACAGCTTCTATAGATTTCAAATTATTTAACCAATTATGATGTCTGGATGCTTTTCAGTCTTGCCATTTTTAGTAGATTTCTTTCAAAGCTTTTCATCCTTACCATTTCCTTACTTGTTTTACCTATAAATAGCATTAAGTAAAGCTCTACTCTTGTCAGTAATCTATCCTCTGCATTCAAAGAGAAAATTTAAGCTGTATGTTTTCTTTAAAATTTACTCATGTCATCTATCCATTTTATTATTTCCCTTGATTCACCTTTGTTTTATCTAATTCATGAAGCTTAGTCCATATCCATTACAAAGTATGTCCATGTACTCCAATTTTCAAGTATCCCTACTGGCAACACGTGCCATATATACATTATTATTTGGGGAATAATCTAAAAGTAATATAGCCTATTCTATCAGTGATATTCCAAGGTAGCTGAGTATTCAGTTTACTCTTTAATTTCTGAATCCATGTGCTATTTTTCTCTCTGTAGTCTATATTATTGGTCATTGCCCTTTATCTTTACATGGCAGAATCTTAAAAGAAATAAAAAGTGCACAGCTGTGAAATAACCACCCCTACCTGTGAAGATTAGTCTATATATGGCTCAGAGTTTCTGTTGCATCACTTCTTAGTTCTGTGACCATACTGAAGTTATTTAACATACCCAGGTCTCAATTTTCACATCTTTCAATAGGGAAAAATTATACTTGATTTCTAGGACTCACGTGAGTAAAGTGCTTTGAACAAAGCCTAACATATGGTAAACGCTCAATGAATTTTAACTATCTTTTCATTTTCTACCTTATTCTATTGTATTTATTTTCTACTGTACTCTCCTTCCCATCTTCTTTCTCTTTCCTCTTGCTCATTCTTGGGCTGGTGCCCAACATGTACATCTCAGTTCAGCAGTACGTTTAACAAGGGAGAAAAAAATCTGAATCAATTATGCAAATATCACACGTAAGTAATTTTCTTTGAAAATTCTTTGAAATTTCTATGAAAGGAATACTTGATTTCTAGGACTCACGTGAGTAAAGTGCTTTGAACAAAGCCTAACATACGGTAAACGCTCAATGAATTTTAACTATCTTTTCATTTTCTACCTTATTCTATTGTATTTATTTTCAGGAAGTTTTCAATGCTTCTCTCTGTTTGCAGTTCCATCGTAAGTATCTGGGCTTCAGAGTCAGAAATAATTTAGTTTGAATTGGAGGCCATCACTCACTATTTGGCCTATAACTTCTTGGCATTTTTTGTTTCTTGCCATCTTTAAGACTGGGCTTCTCCAACAGGGAAAAAGAATTAAGACGTACTTCTTGAAAATAAAGTATAAAATTCTTAGTGCGGTGTCTGGCAAACAGAAAACTATGAGGTAAGTAAGCATCACTTTTCAGACAATTCTTCCCTCTCTCTATAGTAAACCACAAGTAGAAAAAAGCCCTGTTTCATAACACCAATGACAAAGTCATTATAAGTATGATAGCAATGAAGTTTATTTGTAACTCTGTAAGTCTCTGTGTCTCCAGTTACCAGTTTGCTTTAGAAAATGCAGTCTGATCAAACCAAACACAATCACTAGAGCAGGGGTGCAACTCCTGTTCCTCACATGATTCTTTGGCTATGACTACATAAGGTCAGTGCTAGTATGATCACTAAAATTTTTGTCATTTTTTTCAGAAAATGAAAAAGTGAGGCTTATAAACTACCTAACTAGTTGTAAGTTACTTAGTATACTGAGAAAAGGACATGTGTATTTATCTTGGAAGGGCATTACAAAAAAGAAGTTTCACTCACTTTTTGAAAATAATTGTGATAAATGTGACATTCTCAATACACTCAACAGATACTGATATTTATTCATTTTAATGAAAATAAGATAATAAAGAAAAGTATAATCTTAGTTTAAAAGGTATATTTTCAGAAATGGTTTGAGGAGAGCTCTATTAGAATAAAACAAAAATTTCAGAAAAAATAAAACCATAGTCTATAAAACAAACAAATCTAAAGAAACAAATGGCCGGTTAAACAAAGACATAAGAACTGAACTCTTCATAGGAACTTTCAGTTGAAAATATACATGTTTAATGATAACTATTGAATAATTTCTGATATAAAGTTCTGATTTCTGTTTCAAATTCAAACAGCAATATTTGAATGATTCTAAAAAATAAAAAAGTTTTGAGTCAACTTCTCCATTGAGATTTAAATTTGTAGGGATAATGAAGAAAGCAATGTAAAACAATATCAAGTAAGAATGTGATGAATAAGAAAAACACAGTTTCTAAGAAAAGGAAGAAAAGCTAACCCAAGTGTATCTGAAAAAGTTTGACAATTCCATTACTGAAGATTCTGTTTAAACAGAGAAAAGCAAACTAAAAAGCTTCACAACCCATCCTTTTAATTTTAGCTTGAAATGAGAAAAAAAAAAGATGTAGAAATACACTGTCATGTGAAAATGACACAAAATATATCAAAACATATAAAAAGTCAAGTATAACCATAGGTAAAATGATGTTAATACCTGAAATGGTGTACCTTGGAAATTACACATCTTTATAATCTTTTCAAAAGCAACTACATTCTGCTAACAAAATGCTAATCATAATGTATCTTTTTGCCAAGTTCAAAAAACACAAACTGCTTTGGTAGACTCATACTTTCTAATAAATACCAAATTGTTAGTATCTGTAAAATCTATTTACAACAATCTATAGTTTTTTTATGCATAAGTTGAGGTTACCAAATTTAATAAATATATACAAAGAAAAGTATCTTGAACGTAAAATTTTATTTCTAAAGAAAATATTCATATGGGAGCTATTCTAATACTACAATGTATAAACAATATATTAAGGAAGAATTATTAATTTAGAAGAAAGCAAAGAATTTTTATACCATTGATTATCAGTTCTAATTGTATTTTAATATTTCCTGTGGGATTTAAGTAATATGCTAAAATTCATACTAAATACAGCTAAAAATACACTGTTCCTTTAACTATTATAATAGATGCTAAAATTAACCTACAACTATGACAATTTTAGAAAGATATTTAAACTTACCCCATTTAATGGATATGTTTTCCATCCCAGCTCTCCCAGCACAGTTGTTGTATCAAGCAACACAACTGGAATTAAATAAATTAAAAAAATTGCATGAACTTCTCAATTAATGTAAAATGTATCAGTAATTTAAGTCATTAATGTTAACTCCCTTATTATTATTCATTGCATTAGCTTTAATAAGTTGCATTACTAACTTTAAAATTATTTGACTACATGAAATATTAGCATATAATGATATTAAGTAATTCTAAAATGTATGAGGTGCTTACAAATTAAGTTTAAAATATGAAATTTGTGTTTAGCAATGTTAAATAAAATGGATAATTGAATAACAAAACTGATAAAGTCATTTTTAACAGCTGACTTTTAAAACTGATGAATGTTAGAGAAGGTAATAAGGAGGATGTAACCACCAGCTGACCCACGAACGGACCTAAGCAATGAATCGGAGGCTCTCCAGCTCCTCCCCTGTCCTTAGAATGTATGCTCTGCCCACCATTCCCACAGCGGGAGCTGTTCCAAGGAGAGAGCCTTGAGAGAGGAACGCACGGTTGAGACCACCTGGACATACACATGAATGAACCCAGATTCAGTTGAGGCCTCTATATAAACTTCAAGATTCTAATGGGCAAGTGCAGAGATCTATTCGTCTTACCGCTGCCCTAGGCCAGCTTGGTAAGTAAGTTTCCTTACCTACCACCCTCCAATCTGAAGTGATCTGCCTCTTTGTTCAGACTCTCCTTGCCTTCCAGGAGTACAGGGCCAGTTTGCAAACCAACCATGAAATAACCATCATGGCTTTATCTGCCATTTTCATATATAGTTTTTATATCACATTAAAGGAAGAGAAACTATTAAAGCAGGCTTCTTTATTTTCTTTCTGTGTTATTAAATACCCTTATACATGCTTGGAAAAGAATTTTTAAAAAAGGACATTTTGAATAAACCTATTATCTTTAAAGCATAGATTACATTATTATTGTATGCACTAGTATACTTACTGCTAAGGGAGGCAAAAGCAAAAATAAAAACCATGCATCTTTTTTCCTAACCAAAAGTAATTCATAATCTGGTTGAAGAGACATATAAACAAATGATCAGAACATTTCTCTTAAATTCTAAAAGACTATATATAATAGCTCAGCAATTAAGTTAGGCTAAGGCTGATAGGGCAAGTCTGGGAATATTTCACAAAGGAAATGCAATTTGGGCTGGCCTAAGATGAGGAGGTCTTCAAAAAGATGTGATAAGAAAAAACTTTTTTTAAAATACTTTGTATAACTTAACTGAGCTATGACTAAGCCAGTCCTCAGTTGCTGGAGTAGGGAGCAGGAGTAGAGATTATTTGGAGGAACTGGGAGGACATCAATGAGACTATATATAAATGGTGATCAACTTGAGGTGTAGTGCTTCTGGCAGGTTAATATGTAGTGCCCATGATTCAGCAGATCTTTATTTTAACTACTACCTCCATGTCTCCCAGATGCCAGTAAGGTCATGGACCACACTCTGAGAAACAATGCTTTGATATCTTACCATGAGTTTTAGTTCTTTAGGTTAAGAAAGTGCAGGGTTTTTTTTTAATAGTTTTTTAAAAATGCCATTGGGAGTGTGTTATTTGGCATCTGCCATTTAGCATCTATTGTAAGGATTCTGTGTTTTCTTCTTATTGGAATCCCTGTGATACATTTTATTGATTTTTAATCATTAAACCATGCTTAAATTTCTGCAATAAATTCTTACTCATTGTAGAATATTCCTTCAGTACTGTTAAAATCTATTCACCAAGCATATACTTGTAAAACTGAGCCATAATTATTTAATTTTTATTATGGAAAATTCTCTTCCAAAAATATTTTAAAATGTGGAGCTAACAGTACAATGAAACCTCATATACTAATCACCCTGCTTCAATAATTACCAACTATAGCCAATCTTATTTCATCTATACATGTTACTCTTTCACTGTGAGATTTCTTTGAAGTAAATTCTAGTAATCATACCATTTGATATGTAAAAGTTTTAGCAAGTATATCTAACATACTCTTTTTAAATATAATTATAATATCTTAATTCATTACTATAAATAGTATGTATTATTTAATGTAATCAAATACCCATCAGTGCTTATTATTCCCATGGTCTCAACTTACTTTAACAGAAAATCAAGATCCAAATAAATCCTACCCATTACAGTGAGGTCTTGTGTTTAAGTATTTTTTTCAATCTATAGGTTCCCCTTTTATATTTCTTAAGTTAGATTTATTGAGGTATAATTTACTTACAATAAAATTCAACCTTTTTAAATGCACATTTCTAGGAACTGTGGTCAGCTTCTACATCCATGTAACAGCCATTACAGTCAAGCTACAGAATACATCTATCACCACCAAAATTTCCTTTGTGATTCTTTATGGCGAATTCCTTCTCTGTCCCAACAACTGGCAACTACTAATGTGATTTCTGTCTCTATGGTTTTGCCTTTCCCCAAATGTTACATGAATGAAATCATACAACATGAAGTCTTGTGAGCCTAGTTTCTCTTACATAGCATAATCCATTTGAGATTCATATATGTTACTGTATATATCAATACACACAACAGAATACTCAGTTCCTTTTTATTGCTGAAAAGTGTTGTATTGCATGGAATTCCCTACTTGATAAACTTTCACATATAATTTTTTAATATTTTTTATTGAGTTATAGTCATTTTACAATGTTGCGTCAAATTCCAGTGTAGAGTACAATTTTTCAGTTATATATGAACATACGTATATTCATTGTCACATTTTTTTCTCTGTGAGCTACCATAAGATCTTGTATATATTTCCCTGTGCTATATAGTATAATCTTGTTTATCTATTCTGCATTTTAAAACCTTAGTCTGTCCCTTCCCACTCCCCGCCCCTTTGGCAATCACAAGTTTGTATTCTATCTTTATGAGCCTGTTTCTGTTTTGTATTTATGTTTTGTTTTGGTTTGGCTTTTTTTTAGATTCCTCATATAAGTGATCTCATATGGTATTTTTCTTTCTCTTTCTGGCTTACTTCACTTAAAATGACATTCTCCAGGAATATCCATGTTGTTGCAAATGGTGTTAGGTTGTCAGGTTTTGTGGCTGAATAGTATTCCATTGTATAAATATACTACCTCTTCTTTATCCAGTCAGCTGTTGATGGACATCTTAGGCTGCTTCCATGTCTTGGCTACTGTAAATAGTGCTGCTATGAACATTGGGGTACAGGTGTCATTTTGAAGTAGGGTTCCTTCTGGATATATGCCCAGGAGCGGGATTCCTGGGTCATATGGTAAGTCTATTCCTAGTCTTTTGAGGAATCTCCATACTGTTGTCCACAGTGGCTTTCCTTGCTTCCCTCTCCCACTCTTAATAATTTAGATGTCCTCTTTTACAATTTTGTGTTTATTCTTTTTGCAATTCATGACAGTTATCTCCTTTCCAGTTATGAGTTTCTCATTTTTGTAGCATACTGCTTCTTTTCTATTTAGAGTAGACCTGTTAATATTTCTTTTAGCATGGGTTTAGTGTTGCTAAACTCTTATACTTTTTGCTTGTCTGTGAAGTTCTTTATCTCTCCTTCTATTTTAAAGGATAGCCTTGCTGGACAGAGTATCCTAAGCTGCATCTTTTTTTCATTCAGGACTTTGAATTTATCTTGACAGTCCCTTCTGGCCTGTAGATTTGTGTAGAGAAATCAGCTGAGAGCCTTATAGGGGGGGTTCCCTTGTAACTCACTCTTTTTTTTTTCCCTTTCTGCCTTTAGGATCATTTCTTTATCCTTGACTCTAGCCATCTTGATTATGATATGTCTTGGTGTGGGTCTGTTTGGGTTCTTCCTGTTTGGGACCCTCTGAGCCTCCTGTACTTGTATATCTGATTCCTTCTTTAGGTTTGGGAACTTTTCAGTCATAATTTCTTCCAATATCTTTTCAATCCCCTTTGTTCTTTCTTCTCGTTCTGGAACCTATTACGCGTAGATTGGCATGCTTTATATTATCCCATAGGTCCCTTATATTGTTTTCATTGGTTTTCATTTGTTTTTCTCTCAGCTGTTCTGATTGGGTGCTTTCTGTCTTCTAGGTCACTTCTTCATTCCTCTGCATTATCTAGTCTGCTTTCCACAGCTTTTAGGTCAGCTCTCATCTCAGCAAATGAGTTTACTAATTCTACTTGGTTCTTCTTTATAGCTTCTATTTCATTTTTGACATATTTTATATCTTTAAACACTATCTCTTTTAGTTCCTTCAGTACTTTGATCAGTCTTTTGAAATCTTGATCTAGTAGGCCATCAATGTCTATTTACTTGAT